GCAACTGATACGACGATGCATTCTCTATGACCTCTAGCAAAGTGACCTTGAAGTGATCTTCACTTTGAAAACATACAGAATTTCTTCGTGCTTTTATGCTCGTAGAACGATTACAATCTGGAGCACAAGTAATAGTTAACTCACTGTGTCACCGTTTATAGTGACTCATTGAAGTCACTTAAAGGTCAGTCTGTGACAAGCTCATTGAATGTGACATTTTATCGGATACAGCACACTGCTAAAAAAGAAATCATAGCGTCATTTAAATAATTCAGGGTTATTTTTTCTCGATTAATATTCATGAAGAATGATTTTGATTTTCGTTCATATTGCACAGTTTTCTTTAGAAATACAATAATTCAAAATTACTAATTCAAGTTCCATCATTTAATTTTCTTTAATGGTCAAAAGTGGTTAACGGACTCGAACACTCATTTCTACAAACAAAATTTATGTAATTAAAACGATACTCTTCGTTTAAAGAAAAAAGAAGTATTGTCGATGAAAGAAAGAGCTATCGAGCTATACATTACACGTTTCAAGGAAATTGACACTTTTTAAGACAAAATTCTGTTCAAATTAAAGGTGCACGAATCATACGAAAAGTCAAAGGCTTAGTCGCGGATAGTGAAATTTCCATGGAAAAATCGCGAAGGCTCGCGATTCCGACGGTCAGGGCCGATGAGCATTAGTTCAATGATCGTTCCGCGAGCGGGGCTTGATTTATGCACGCACCACCTACATAATTCATATCGCTTAGATACAGTAACAGTTTGAAGGCACGAAAGCCTCGCGGTAAGAGGTTTTGCTCGCGATCGCTAGCTGGCCCGCTTTCTTCTCTCTATTAACGTATAAATTAATTTAAATATCGCCATCGAAAACAGTTTTAATTTTAAAGTAGGTTTCATTCGTAACAGGATTTCCAAAAGGGCCATTTTCATTTTGTTTTAATCATAAATACTTCACGAAGCTTCTAACAGAAATATGTATTGATCGAAACTTGATTATTTAGTCCATTCGAATAAAAATTCATTCAATATTTCATTCGAATACAAATTTATTCAACGTATCATTCGAATAAATATAGGGTGTTAAAAAAAAAAGCATTTAATATTTACATGGTGTATAGGGCACACTGTGCTGAGTAAAAAAGCTTTAGTAAACATAGGTCCAAAGGTCAACCGTTTCTGAGATATAAACATTTTTATTTGCTAGTATCATGATTGACTTACTACTGGGTTTTCGATATTTATACAAGATTTTACACGTGTCCACCGCTCAATTTCTGTACACGAAATTGAAAAAATGAAAATGACGAAATTGTCGGCACTTGAATGGGAATATTCAGAACGCAATTTATAAACACTAACATAAACATCGCATGCGATGGAAGCAAGTAAGTTAATAATGATACTAGCAAACAAAAATGTTTATATCTCAGAAACGGTTCACCTTTGGACCTATATTTACTGAAGCTTTTTTACTCAGTACAGTGTGCCCTATAAACCATAGAAATATTGAATGCTTTTTTTTTGAACACCCTGTATAGAACGCCCAACTTTTCCGGGGATAGGGTCCGCGGGATAATGAAGTTCGAGAAACACTGAGGTTCTCCCTCGAAAATGGTGCTTCGTACCGAATTCCAGATTACGCTACTCCTTCCTTGTGAAACAAGCTAAAGTGATCCCTGCGACGAAATAAGAACTTATTGATCGGCCAAATGTCCATTCGACGGGATGCGTGCTACAACCGTCTGCTACGCATGTTTCACAAGGTACCAATCGATATTATTATAGTTTGTTTGGCACCACCCATGGATTTACGTGGACACGCGTATCTCTATTTAATTTACAAGTATGTACAAAAAATACTAAAAATCCTAGATAAAACTCAAACAACCAAACTTTCAAATTTATATTAGGTGGACTGGAAAGTAATGTCGTTTTTGCTATCTTAAATACTTGTTTATCATTTATCAGCTCATTGATTTTTCTGGCAGTGAAAATTTGCACACTAGGTTACAAAAGGCTGCTGACAATGAGGGCGATTCATTATATAATCATATAATTAAAGATAGATGAATTAAAGATAGAAATTTATTGGAAAGTTTGAATTTAATGTAAAAGAAACGATTACATTACATTACGAAACATTACTTTTCGGTCTACCTAATATCAATAATAATATTTTAATAATTGAAATAGAAAATCGTAACAAATCAAAAAAAAAAAAATACTTTGAAAATTTAGTTGTATTTAATGTACTCTGTACGCACTACAAGGCATCGATAGATTTAAAAATGACATTTGATATGAAATTTAAAAAAAGCATGCATTTCATTTTGCATTTCGGTGTTCGGTATCGTTTCACTGATTTGTTTTATTCTGGGCTTTCAAACGCTGGTTTCACGTGGGAGCCACGTAAAAATGGAGCAGAATAAAGAGAACGACATGGCGTTAACACAGCCGTTTATTGTCCAACCGCTGTCGTAGTATCGTACCGCGTGTAACCCAATATTTCCGTGTAATTTAAACTCTCCTCGTCTGTAAAGTGCGTTGTACGATGAAGTGGCGATTCCACACCGTGGTGTTGGCACGTCCTCTCAATTGCATACATTTTTTACCCCTGGTTACTGTCTCTTAAAAATTTATATCATATAATTTATTCGTAGATGTCGATCACTGAACATCCTCGAGATAAATATTAACACTTCATGACATCAAGGGAGTGTCATTCCTATAAAAACTCAAATACCATTAATTTACTAGATAAAAGTTTTCTTGATGAAAGGAGTCCACACACGATCATACTCGGACTATTATTCATTATACCTACAGTGAGTGTAGAAAGTATTCGTACACCGATTAATTTCCAAAAAAAAAGTATGTGAAATTGTAATTTATTAACTTTCTTTTTTATAAACAATAACATTCTACATATTTTCGAAAATCTCTAGAATAGATAGATTACAAAAAAAGTAGCTATTTATGTAAGTTGCGAAATTAACAAGAAAAAAACAATGAATCGATAGAAATATTGAAGCAATAACTATTCGCACGACTGTTTAATTCTTAAAACTTCATTAAAAGAAAAGAAATTTACATTAATTTATAAGTATATAATACTTCCTTCGTGGGATTTCCTTTTGATTTTATAATTATTGCAACTCTTCTAAGCATTAAATTAACTAAATTATTAGTTATTCGAAGTGGGATCTTCTTCCATTCTTCTATTAGAGCCTTTTTTAAAAGTATTTTACTGGATATTTGATGTTTTCTAATTCGTACAAAGCAATAAACTAATGTATTTACTTATTGCTTCTATATTTTTACCCACTTTTCTCATTTTTTTGTTTGTTAATTTTACAAATTACATTAACTAGTAAATGTTGTTTGGACTATATCTATCTTAGAGATTTCCAAAAATGTGTAAAATATCATTGATTATAAAAAAAGAAATTAAGAAAACTACAATTTCACACAAAAGTTTCGTGGGAATTTGATCGGTGTACGAGTACATTCTACGCCCACTGTATGTAGATTTTTATATTTATTTTTACGTACAGGATGTTTCGTTCAAGTTGAAATAGTTGAATGCATCATGAGGGGATGTAGCTATACAAAAATCAATTACGCCATATAATTTGCCTCTTTGTATCAAAAAATTTGTTTAAAAACTTTCCTTTATAGCTTCATTCCCACATCATATCTCACCATTCCGATTTAAAAGAAACACCCAGTACAATTTAGAAAACTACGAATAAGGTCGTGTTTGTATTCATTTTCATCAGCAAATCGTCAGAATTCAGCGACAATACTTCTGTAAACATCTAAAAAAAAAAAATATATATAAAAATTTAAATATTGTCTATCGAGCGTTTAAAACCCAACCGATTTCCGTCGAATATTTTCCTTTAAAAATACACCAGAAGTGCGTGGCATTACGAGAAATCAGTGAAGTAGTTTACGCGTCTAATTCTGAAAGGTTCTTCCCCACCCCCAGACTGGATGGAAGGGTTAGTCTCTGTCGAGACGGTGGAAAAACAGACCGAACGAGAGAATTAATGTTGGAAATGGTCGGTGGCGATGGAAGCTTTCCATCGAGATGAAGGAAAGGCCGAAATTGAGAAGTTCGAGACGGAGTTGGAATGGGTAATAGAAGGAACATGATAGGGTGGAAGACCCTATCGGGGTGGAAGTCGCAGATGTAGCCCACGGGTCATTGCACTTTTATGCACCAGCGTTTATGTATTTTTGTGGCTGTATACAGGGTGGCCCCATTGTTATCGTAAATTGAAGCTGCAGTGCGAGAATCTGGAGTTCTTATTATTTTTTTTATGTTCTCTCGTCGCATTGTGATACGACTGTTGCGCGTCTAATAATATATCAGACGACAGATTTAATAATTGTAATTACGTAACTTTGCGTCTGAAGCGACTCGGAGCACATGAATCATTGTTATCGTAACTGATTCATGCACCATAAATAGTTATTGCACTGCGAATCGAAGGTAAAAAAAAAAACGAAGCGGGGCATAACTGTTATCGGGAGTTCGAGCGATAAGCCATGTATTACGAGACAATCGCTTAGAATGAAGGTCGTTTAAGGTTACTTTCAATACAAACCACGATTGTCGTGATTCTGTTTTTGCGTGTAGGAAATATGAAAATAACATCATGAATAATATTTAACCAGATATAAAAGTTACGATATTTAAAGTAAGAATAGCGCTACTAAAAACAAGTAATTATACTTCACCATACTTTGATGGTATTTTTCATAAATTTTTAAAAAAATCTGGCAAGTCTCAGTAATTACATATATTAATTGCAATAAATTCATTTTATATAAAGTGAATCATGTCTAAGAGGCGCCTGCATAAATCTCGACTAAACCCCTTACAGAGGGAAGTAGACTCTTAAGCAGTATTGACTGTACTCACTTTGCGATGCTACATACAATGAGTAAAACCTCTAACAGAAATCGTTTTGTTCGTTCCAGGCGGATTAAAACGTGCTCATCGGATCCTGTTGCGGTGGGCGAAGCGCGAAGGCTCCAAGGACAACATCACCTTGGTTGTGGTCCTGTTAACTCCAGCCAGCGAGATCGCAGCCAGGCCGCCAAACGCCCATCCGTTCCGTTGCATGAAAACGAATGATATACTCGAGAACATGAATTCCAAAGACAAACCGCTGTTCCTGGACATGGACGACGCGCATAACGCGATCAACTCGAACATCCTCAAGCAAACCATGCTGTCGCAAGAGACGCGGGACCGCGACGACGGCATCCTTGCGGCCAGCAATGGCAAACACGAAAACGGGGATGCAGACTACGATTACTCGGATCTGGGACCAGAGACGGACGTCGACGCGGTCGACGACGTCAGCGTGCCCGTAGAAAATGACTCGAACCACGAAAAGGACTCCAATCTCCTAGACAACTTGCGCATCGAACAGCCAGAGATTAACGCAAAACGTCAGCTAGACGCCGAGAATAACTTGCGCGAAGATGAAGACGAAGATCGCGATGACGATGACAAGGTTCTCGATAAGTATCCGGCATCTGAATCGGTCCTGGAGGCAGCTCCCCGACGAATTTCAACGAACCATCCCAGCGCGGTTTTTAAACTCGGTGAAAATTACGAGGACTATTACGGGATGGAGCGTTTCGTGGACTACGATGACTTTCCGCCGTCGTCGGATGCTAACAGTAAGTGCCAATCGCCAATTAAGCCGCGTTCCCATGAACGAACCCTTTGCTGCTGGATCGCTAAATGTGCGTTCCTGTTTGGCAAGTTCGCCTTGTTGAGTTTCGCGTCGGTTTACGATTTTTCGAGTTTCTGAGGCGAATTATGGGTTTTCGTGTCGCACGAGACACGGATTGTATGACAAGGTTGAAATCTGTTTTCCACGAGTCTGATGCCGTGGTTAACGATGGGCATTCAGTTTCTTCTGACGTCTTCCGTGATGGGTTCGTCGATATTTGAATGAGCTCATGTGCAACGATAAAGCTTGAAATGCTAAAGATAAAAATGTATATTTTCGTGTGGTTTCGAGTATTAGTTAGGAAATACTTGAGGTCAATTGGAACCAGTGATGGGCAAAACCTTAGGCTTCGAATAAATCTGAAGTTTGCTGATATGTTTGTCTCGTTTCCTCTCTTAAACATTTTCCAAAGAAGGAAACGAGACAAACATATCGGCAAATTTCAGATTTATTCGAAGTCTAGGGTTTTTGCCCATCACTGATTGGAACAGTGTAGCGTAGTCGATAAAGCAGAGATATTAAATGTTACGTTTAATTTGTATTCTTTTATGGCTTGGTAATGTAGAGCATTAGGTAGATAAGGTAGCCTTGTGGACATTGTAGAACACTCCGTCGATAAATATTTTGATCCAGTAGGGTTCTGCGTTAGTGAATTTTATCGACAGAATGCACTACATTATCGAGAGTTCGCTACGTTATCAATGGAGTGCATACTTCCTTTATCTACTGAAATAAGTGCGTTAGGAACTTGATATTACCGACTGCCTCGCACTGTCACTGTTGCAGAGTTCTTCCAATACAAACTAATAACTTTTAGAACTTTGACCCCAAACATCTCTTAAAGTATTATCTGGAAGTACCTACAATTATATATTATTATCTTTAGCATTTCAAGCTTTATCACCAGGAGCTTATTTAGATATCAGTTGAGCAATTGGAAATGTCGCCTTATAAGAGTATCGAGGCAATTTGTGTCGGGGTGATTTATTTATTATGATGATGACTATAGGTATTTATTTCATATAATGTCCCCCTTTTTCCCAAATAACTTTATGAGAACATTTTTCTGATAGCTTCATCCTCTCAAGAAATATTTAACAATTCTGTTTTAAACAAAACACCCTGTACGTAGTACCATTTAACGGAAAGTTTCGAACTTAAAATTAGCTTGAAAGTCTATCGACAAGAAGCATGCGCGTTCTGGTAGAACAGTCTGCAGACTGTGCAGTGTAGAGCGTGACTTTTTCGAATTTTAACATTCTTCTCCTGTCCCCCACACACGTGGAGTACCGGAAATAGCTTCTACCCTCTTGTAGAAGCGACTGTCTTGACGCGTTTAGCCACCGCGAAACCTCTTAACCCTACGCATTCAAATTATCTGTGCAGAAATATTCATGCAGCGAAAACTTCGCGATTTCAATGTATTTGAACCTCTGAAGTCCATTAAAGTTCTTTCAACAAACGATATCTTTCGTCGTATTTCGTAAACTGTTCAGAATATGGCAAAATTATTCCAATAAACATTTTTTATTAAAAGGACTATCCAAGACAACAAAGAAAGAATTTCATCACTCTTGATTTTTATCATACTTTGGTCCGAAGAATCTCCCCTTAGAATATCACCAATCTGTAGTTACCTCCCCGCTGTTTAGATATTGTTCGCTCAGTGCAAACTTTGGTCAGACTCCCGCGTGCATTCGTCGATACGTGCATACCTAGTCTCATAAATATGGATGTCAAACGTGGGACGTCCGAACTCTTACGTGTTCTTTATATCGTTCAGAAACCCGGCCCACTTTCCGCTGCACTTCGGCTTTCACCACCTCGTGCCAGTCACTGCACTTCCTGCACTGATTGTCATCCGCCTAGCAAATCTTCCAGACTTCTTCCTAGGCCAGAATCTTTATCGCCCTTTTCTTCTTCAATGGCCACTTCGCATCCATCTGTAGTATCAAGTTTATTCAAACAAATTCTTCCGTTTCAAATCTACGGATTGTATGGTTTTCAGGGTACGTTAGATAAGCACCCTCATTGTTACCCTTGCTGTACGTATCAGGGATTCTGAAAACGGCCTGAGTCATCTATTTGCCATTGATGAATCATACGACGGATGAAAACGAAATGGAAAATAAAATGGGAATGAAAAGAGTTTTTTTTTTTATATAGGGAAATTTAAAAAATATTGGGCGTAAGAAATTAATTCTGTGCCTTTATATTCAATTGATACATGATGCAGTATTTAATTTTTCATAGAAAACAAGTTTATCTATGAGTAAGAGTCTTATTATTAGACCGTTACTAAAATGAACGTAAATTAAATTCAGTATAGCAACTGTCAACATGATCGAGAAATTCAGTTTTAAACCACTTTTAAAAACGCTTTATCAGTATGTAAATCGTTTTAACGCAAAGAAGTAATAAATTCAATTTATCTAGATTATTTTATTTCTCGCGTAATCACGTAATCACCGGGACTTGCGACGCATGACTCATCGAGATTGAATCACATCGTTTCAGTGTGCGTTTTTATTAGAAAGCGGTTATGTCAAGAGTACGGTGCAGTGAACACTGCGTCACGATATGTTCATATTAGTTCAATAACAGGGCCAGAATTTCATTGTATTTTCTCAATAAAATGAAATTAAAAGGATGTTTGAAATTATATTATGGGCTACTAATGTTAGGAAAATGATTAGCTTGAAAATATATTCTTTTATGCCGACTTACTTAATTTTTTCATATTAAACAATCTGCACCAGTTCAGGAAAAATATTAAACAGCAAATGGTGTTGGAGAAAATTGTATTTAATACAGTAGAATTAAATATTTAATCAATTCTACGTCATTTTTTATTCAAACAAAAATAATAATTAACAGAAACACTCAGTATTAGATGTTACATTCTCATTGTACATATTTTGGAGTATTTTTAACCGTGAAACTCTATAGACGCGAACCCTAAGCGGTTAAGTGACATTAACGATCAAGATGACGTTTCCATTGCCCGTGAAAATTATATTTCGTTGAAAGAAATACAGGGTGATGTGTGCACAAGAAATGCTTTCGAAGAGAAATATTTTTACCCAGATAAAAAGTTAGAATGGCAATTAAAAAATATACAATTGTTTATCAATTACTATTGGAATTACAGATTAGAATCTCATCTATTCGATCGAATAGACTTTACAAATAAATTGCTATATATATTAGTTTCATTCGTAATCTGTTACTCGAGTAATATGTAAGTAAAATCAACATGTAGAAATTAATTTATATGTTCATTCGAGTGAACGATTAAATGTTTAATTATTCATTATGAAATGTTTCCTTAGTAATACTGCAAATTCTTATTTTTATTTTTGATGAGGTACGGATAAACATATATTTTTTACCTGCTGTTCGAAATTGTTATCTACAGTGGGTGTAGAATGTATTCGTAAATCGATCAATTTCTCCCAAAAATTTGTGTAAAGTTGTAGTTTCTTAACTTCTTTTTTTATAATCAACGATATTTTACATATTCTCAGAAATCTCTAAGATAGATATAGTCCAAACAACATTTACTAGTTAATATAATTTGTGAAATTAACAAAAAAATGCGGAAAGTGGGTAAAAATATAGAAGCAATAAGTACTTGTACGATTCTTATGACGAACCATTTAGAGTAGAGTTTGTAACGTAAACACATTAGTTTACTGCTCCGTACGAATTAGAAACCATCAAATTTCCAGTAATGTATTTTCAAAAATAGCTCTAATAGAGGAATGAAAAAGGATCCCACTTCGAATAACTAATAATTTACTTTATTTAATGCTTAGAAAAGTTACAATAATTGTAAAATCAAAAGGAAATCCCACGAAGGAAGTATTATATACTTGTAAGTTAATGTAAATTTCTTTCTTTTTGATGAAGCTTTAAAAATTAAACAGTTCTATCGATTAATTGTTTTTTTCTTGTTAATTTCGCAACTTACATAAATAGCTACTTTTTTTGTAATCTATCTGTTTTAGAGATTTTCGAAAATATGTAGAATGTCATTGTTTATAAAATATAAGTTAATAAATTACAATTCTACATAGTTTCTTTTGGAAATTGATCGGTGTACGAATACTTTCTACACCCACTGTAGATCAGAATTATACCTAGTGTCATGGTTGAAAATGTCAACTCAGGACTTTAATAAATGAATAAATAAAGAAAGGATCGTGTCTATCTCCGTAGATTTTCGTAGAACTGTAGGCTCGCAATAATTGTCGTGGCTAACTGCTTAGAATCCTCCACGCGATTCGAGGGGAATGGAGACGTCGAATATTCTCGTCGCTGTGCAACAGGAAAGCGTTACCGACTGTTTTCTTCGAAGCACTACGCGATATTAAAAAAGGAGAACCGTCATGACACTTTTGTGCCAAAGAAGCCACGTATACCGTTCTTGTATGCACGCAATTATTCACTGTACCACCACGCCCCTCTTTTTCCTTCTATCTAAATTTATCTGAGCACGTAGCCCCAAGGTCGTTTTACTTCTACCGGGAATTGTATGAATTTACCTAATATTTAATTAACATTCATTTATTCCTTAGAATTCATTACTGATTGAGTAGGGAATGTTGCTAAATTTCGACGACAATTTTAAGGATTTAATCTTTATATAGCCCGATAAGGTATTTTTCGTTCATTGGCGATTGTAGTAACGTGATTAATCTACGGTTGCCAAATATGAACAAAATATGAGCAATGATAAACATTATTTTAAGGATTGTAGAATCCGGTACAGATTATTTATAATCCATCATTTCCTGAAGGATTTTATGCAATTTCGACGTACATTAATGTGTAGAAGGCATACATCAAATACATATAACATATGTCGAATATATTCTACACTCATTATAACAATATTATTTCATTTTGCACGAGTGCACATACCTTTTGATTATGTCTACC